CAAATATTTTATGCTGGTTCGTTGCTATAAATTGTTATTGCGCTATATATTTAATGTTTATAAATTATGAATATTTATTATCTCAATCAAGACTCTGATAAAAAAATTGTTTTACATTAATTACCCTTATAAAATTAGTAAAACCATTTTTATTTGGTTAGATAATATTTCGCCTCAATTTGCTTTGCATAAAGTTCGGGAAGTCAAGCAAAAAAAATTAGTTTGAATAATCACTTTGAAATATATTCAAAACAAATTATTCTAATGACGGGGGTTTAAAAGTTTTTTATAACAAATGTAGGTAAAAAAATAAATAAATAAATAAATAAAGAGTTCAACATTAAACATCATTTCTTTATTATATTGCAACTGTAAATATTGAAATATTAACTTGAACTAAATTTACTTATTATTTAGAACGACTAAGCAATAAAAATAAAAAGCCCCTAAAATTATGCGATATTGTGTTGTTTATTTGATAATTGCTGTTGGTAATGTTGTTTATGTTGATTATTTTCATTAATATCAAAATAGTCCCAGATTAATCTGTTAGTTGCTTTGTTCATTGTTGTTTTATTTCTAATTTAATTTTATCTCTAAGTATAAATTTATGTTAAGAAAGAAAAGTTTTTATTTCATTGCTCGCTCTTTTTAAAAAAGAGTAGAAAGAAAAGTTTCACGTAATTAAACTTCGAATGAATAAAAGAGTTTTTTTGCATCACTCGTTCTTTTTTTAGATGAGAGAAATAAAAGTTTAATAGTAACTTTTCTTTGAATAAATGAAAATTAAAAGAGAAAATTGCTTGAAAATTTGTATTTGTTGTGTTTTAAAATTTTTCATGTTATGAGACAAATGCCAAATACGATACAAATTGGGAAATACCAAACATAATATGTTTTTTAACGCGCGTTATGACATTTTGACAATTTAAATTACTATTTATCTTGAATTATTGCCATTAATTAATGTGTTAATTATTGCGTTATTTAAAAATAATTTGTCCGTATTTTTGTTAAATATTATTTGTATAAAACGGGCGAAAATATACAAACTTCATGTTTTTATTTGATGGTAATAAAATATTGAACAGTACGCTAATAATCAAAATTTATAATGCCGACTTGTGTTGTTATTAATTGTACTTTTAATGCAAAACCAAGATCTCACAAATCCTTTCACGAATTTGCATATCTGATACTACTGTCAACTGTATTGTTTAGTGTATTCTTGAACTTTTTTTTCATAACCTTAACAGGTTCTAATTGGTATGGAGTTGCCGACATTTTAAAAGTTTCATTATCAAAAATCAAATGTAAAATAAAATGATATTTCCTTTTTATCTGTATCCAATTTAGCAAATTTAGCAATTTAAAATAAATCAGCGTAATCAAAAAATTTTTATAATAAAAAAAGTTAACAATTCATCATATATCTCAAATTAATACTGCCAGTTTATGAAATTAATTGTTAATACTTTTTTTCGACGGGAAAACAAAAAACATCATAGCGTAAAAATAACCAGAAGTTAGAAAAAAGTTCCCATTGTTTAAATAAAAATAAGTAAGATTCTGAATATATAATACTGTGCTCTCTTGCACAAAAACGAGAGACCGTATACATAACGTTCTATATAATGTAAAACACTCGTATGAAAATCATAAGATTCGTAAGTAAAGCTTTAATATTTGTTTTAATTTAAAAACAAAAGAAATATAAGATATATAAATCTAAAAATTATTAAGATATCGGTAAAAAAAAAAGTTCCTCTTATGAAATAAAAAGCTTTTATTATTTTTGATTTTTACAAAAAGTTGTTGTAAAAGTTGTTTTGCTGTATGTTAAAATTTTTTTTGAATTAAAATAGAAAAATGCAGCTTTGTTTAATTACACTTTTCTTTTGTTAAAAATCTACCATGATGTCAAATGCTAAAGCTTTTATGAATTAAACGCTTCGAAGGAATCGCCAAAGTCTGTAGATTGCGACGTATAATTTAAAGACTCCGAGTTATTCAAAAAAATGGAGAAGGCGAGCTTCGGCTAAAACAACAACGTTAGTTTTTCTTGGTATGCATTCATTATTTATTTTTAATCAAAAAAACTTGGTTCAAACCTTTTTTTTTAACATTATCTTTAATATGAACACAACATGTGTTGGGAATTTGGGATCCCTTCTTGTGAAGTCTTGTGAAGTTTGTAAGCTAAGAACAAGTTTGCTTGTTGTTTCAACTACATAGAATTTAACCAACTTTTTATGACTTTTGTAGTAACACATCATCTTTGATGTTCCAAGCACTGGAATATGATTTCCTCCATAACCACCTAGTTTATCATTCGTATAAGTGAGATTATCACGTGATGTTAGTTGGTCCTAGACTCTTTTTGGCATAACATCAACTTCAGCTCCAGTGTCAATTTTTTCACGTACCAATTCATTATTAATTTTAAAGATTATCAAAGCTTCATTTTTACCATTTATTTCACCAGATGATACAGATTCCACATGGTATTCTACAGCGCAATTTTCGTGTATGTTTTTCGAGTTGCAACAAGTTGCCCAATGATTTATTTTACTACATTTACGGCACGTTTAATCGATAGCAGGACAATTTGACTCATTTTCGTTATTCGAGAACTTTCTCCATTTTGGTATTTGTCCGATTGACGCATTTGCTTGTCTTGGTTTTATGAATTTCTTTACCACGTCAATATCTTTTTTTTCCGTATGTAATTTGTTTCATTTATGTATTTGCAACTTCTTCAGCTCTGCATATGTCAACCGCTTTAGTTAAAGTTAAATCTGCTCCTTTTCTAAGTAGATTATTTTGGACTTTGTTTGATTTGATTCCGTCAATTATTTTGTATAATATCAGACCATCTTGAATGTTTTCAAACTAGCATGTTTGAGCCAGATTTTTTAAATCAGTTACAAAGAAATCAAATGATTCATTGACATCTTGTTTTTGTAAGAAAAACTTTCTTTGTTCCAAAACCAGATTTCTTTTCGGTAAACAATATTCTTTGAATTTTTGAAAAAATTCTTTTACCGTGATGTCATCGATTTCACCGTGATCATTTTCTGTTTTGTTCCAAGTCCACGTATTGAACATTTCTCTTCCTTTTTCACCGATCACAAATAAGAATGTCGCGTATTTTTCTTCCTCAGATTTATTTGTCATTGCTGCTTTTAAATACAACTGCATAGTTTGTTTCCATTTTTTCCATGTTACTGCTATATTGGATTCATTGAAGTCCATTTTGTTTGGCTTTGACAAAAAGTGTTCCATTTTCTTTTTCTTTTTAAAATAAGTATTTTTCCAAAATCTCTTCTTAAAATGTCTTCAAACGGGTTCTCGGTATTTTGAATCAACCTTGTTAACGAAGTAGATTGTAATGTTTTGTCTTTATATTTATTATAAAGAGAATTCGACTATGATTTTTATTTAATATTTATTTCAATATTTTCATATTAAATTATCACAACTAGTTTAAATATAAAACTACTAAAATTTAATTCAGCGCACTGGCTTTTAAGTGAGAATTCCTCGTGCAGAATTCTCTCAAGGGAACACTTTCCTTATAAGTTTTTGTGCAACTCCCAAAAGGGAATTGCTTGTTTTGCAATTGCTATTCAGAATTGTTTTGTGTAACAATCATTACATAGATGTACTAATTAAAGTAGAGTTTGTCAATAGTTTGTTTGAATTTTCAGCCAAAACAGACGAAGCTTTTAAAGAAATAGCATTTTCAGGATTGAAACCAAACAAATTTGTTATTTTTTTAGATTGCACTTTGTTTCTAGCTAACTTTTTTATATAATATTTGCTGTTGTTGGAAGGCATTGCAAAGAATGATATGTAAATTCTGAGAAATTAATTTTACAAGCAAGTTGCCAAGGAAATCCCTGAAATCGTTTGGGAAATCCCAATTCTCAGAAATATTATCCCAAGAGACATTTTCACAGTTGAGCAATTGCATGACTATACCTTCGACCATATAAACTGAGTTTATATTGTTGAAGAATTATACTAATTACAGCGATTTTATTTCTCTAAATATTTGATATTACTTAATTTTCGATAATTTTTAGAACTATCATTAAACTCTAATTTAGAATTTGGCAAAATTTATTTGAAGAATTTTAATTTTATTTTTACCTTTAAATTGGGAATTTTAATTTTATGAGCATTTGGGAATACCGCGTTTGACAGGGCGCCACAGGGCTAGTTTACACTCTGTAAGTATATGCCATATGATCATATTGACTTTTATAACAAACTACTGCAAAAGCAAAAAACAACAATGGAGAAGCAGAAGATGTTGAGGAAAATGATTAAACATAGCTGATAAAATTGCTGTAATAGATCTTTTTTCCCTAATATTTTTTGTTAAACTTTTTTAAAAATTCATAAAAATACACTTTGTAAAGATTTATTGCAATTTATGAGATCATTTTCTATAGCCCAAAATTAAAATATATTAAAATAAGCAGCAATTATTTGTTAAATTTTAAAAAGGCTGAAGTCCACAGTATTAATTGGTATATAGGTTTTTTGAAATAAATATAAAAAAATAAGTTTGCCATAACAATGACCCTATTTATAATAGGGTCATTGTTATGGGTAACATCAAATATGATACCTTGTGTAAAGAATGTCTAATTGTTTGTTTTCCCATTTTATTGATTTATTAAATTCTATTGCATTAATTATTTTTTTAAGCAATTATAATTTATTGACCATACTTAACTGTTCTTGATATATTTAAATTTTTTTATTACCTTGATTGTTCAGAACTTTTATACTTTAATTCTTGGTTCAAGTTTCAGTAGTAATTTGTAATTGTAAGAGTGAAACAAAAATTAATTGAAAAAATGCAATAAAATTTTTTATTAAACAATAGAAAGTTAAAAACTATATAAAACTTAAAAAATTATTTTAAAGTAAAAAAAAAAAAATTATTAGAAATATTTTAAAAATAAATTTATAAAAAAAAAAAATACTTCTGTTTGATATTTTGAGCCCAGAAATGGCGACCCACGAAAACCACATTTTGTTGTGTTACTTTCATCTAATACAAACAGATTTTTATTTTAAAAAATCAGGAAAAATTAATTCAAATTTAAACTTAATGCAAATAATTACAGTATTTACAAACAATAGTTAAAAAAAAACTTAATTTAGAGAAATATGTACTAATTTTATAAGGTTCTTTAGCCATGTTGAAAGAAACTTACCTATAAGAAAAGAAACCTTTATATAAAACCAGGATATAAAATTGTTAAAATTAAATTACATTTTTGAAAAAAAAACAACTTTCAATTAAGTAGTGTGGTTCATAGTTCATTGTGGATAATGAAGGAGGAGGAATGGGGAGAAGAGCAAACATTTTGGATGGTAATCTTTTTACTAGTATTTTTACAACACTCACTCCTGCTCTGTGAAACAGGTTAATGCAAAAAAAGCTTCTGCTCATACTTAAATTAAACAGTATTAGATATATTCCATAAAAAAATGAGACAAATTTTGGTGTGTTGCAAGGTTTGTAATACACAACTTCAGATTTTTTTCATACTTTTTAGAAATGGACAGCTACATAATAACGATTATATTTGGGAAATTACAGCACCGATATCAAATTATAAAATATATTATTACTTTATAACTGCCTATTTTGGTTAATTTCTTTGTTGGTAAAATCAAAATGGTAGCCATTTTGATTTCTTACTATAGTTTTTGTTTTATGGATTACTGTTCAACAATACGTTGTGATCAGGCTAAAAAGTAGTATGAGCATAAATTAAAGATGAGGATTCAGAATATGATTTTTTCATAAAGTTCCAATAACCTAAGGGATAAACAGATTCTATCTGTTGGCCAACCTGGCACCCTTTCTTCATCTATTAGGCTGGCTTAGATGTATTTATAATACATTGTTTCCAATTTAGGATGTTAAATGCTAGATCTTCTTGATTCAATGAATGAGTTTTGCTTGTGCCTCTGCATTTATGACTTGGCAACTCATTATGTTATCTCCTCATAAGGGTACATCTCTAACACTCATTTTATGGTTCTGTGGTAGCTCTCAGAGAGTGTGATTCTATCAACAGCTGTAAAATATCATAGCATTAACAGTGTCACATACGCATGGATGGTGTTCCTACTCCAACTTTTAGCGTGCATTGTCGAGGCCATATTTGGTGCCCTTTGTTAGGGCTTAGGGTTTTGTAATAATAATGAGGGAAATGTTTAGACTATTAAATAGTGTGCTGAGTACTACCTGTGCTTTAAGTCAAGATCTTTAACAAATTTAAAAATTACTTAAGTACAGAAAACAATAAAACACAAAAAGCCATCGCCATCACCAAGTTCTCTAATTCTATCATTCACTAATACTCAAGGTCTTTGAAGTAACTTTTTTTCTGTTGAGTTCTCTTGCAAAGTTCACCAGACCTATTTGCTCTTTGTGAGACTAATTTGATTTCAGCTGTCTCATCTTGTGATCTTAGTGTTGATGGTTATCGTTCTTTAATTCGTAAAGACTTCAATAATCACATGCTTGGCATCATCATCATTTGTAAGAATTTACCCATTGGTCAGGAAACTAGGTTTGAATCCACTAACTAATGTTTTAAGTGCTTTCGTTTAGCACCACTTCACCCTATTGCCTTTCTCTTTGTTCTATATCGCTCTTCTTCATCTCAAAACTGCACTCTTTTCGATGTTGTTTGATCAAATTGACCTACCCCTCTCTCTTTATCCTTCAGCCAATATCTTAGTTTTTGATGATGTTAATGATTATCACACTAAATGGCATGGTTCTAGTGACAGTGACTCTGCAGCCATTAAAGCCAACAACTTTTGCATTTCTTAATCTTTAACTCAAATAGTCAACTTTCAAACTAGCCTTCCAGACAATTTAAATCATTAACCTTTAGGTGTTCCTCACGGTTTAATCTCTCTAAAACTATTATCTCATTCTTCTTCATCATCAGAATCCCCCTATCATCGTATCTCTTACAACTACCTTAAAGTTGACTAGGACTCTTTCAGTGATTTTTTTTGTGATGGCCCTAGGGTAGAAACTTTTCATATTCCTGCTGACAAATGTGCTTCTTACTTAACTTCTTAGATTCAGGCTGGCATGGAACCTTTTATTCCCTCCTGACAACTCCAGGTAAAACCTCACTCTTCTCCATGGTTTTCCTCGCATTGTACTGCTGCAATTTCTAATCAAAACCATTACTTCAATATCTATCAACAAAACAATTCTCCAGAAAACAGACGCCTGCTTACTATTGCTAGAAATCATTGTGAAAAAGTTTTGTCTAATGCCAAAACCCACTATTCTCAGGTCACGAAATGTTATATTTCATCTCAAAAATTAGGCTCTCATGACTTCTGGAGAATCTTTAAGAGTATCTATAACAAGGGCAAATTTGTTGTTCCACCTCTCTTGTAAGGTTCAGATTTTGTCACCTCACCTAAAGTCAAAGCTGAAGTGTTTGGTAAGAACTTTTGATCAATTTATGATGAAAACTTTTTATCAATTTATCATCCCTTGATTCCACTAGTTACGTTCTACCTGAAATAGCAGATAAACAAGTTGATCCATTGCTTGACATTTGCTTCACTCCAGCTTCTGTATCTGAAGTGATTTCCTGATTAGACTTTTCTATAGCTTGTGGTCCAGACAAATTACTTAGTATAGTCTTGCAGAAGTGTTCTCTGGAGCTGTCGCCTATATTTCAAAACTATTTAACAAGTGCTTATCAGAGTTTTGTTTTCAAGCATCCTAGAAAAGCAGCATCTGTTATCCTTATTTTTAAAATTTCTGGAGAGTGATCTGACTCATCTAAATACAGTCCCATTAGTCTTCTTACTATCATAAGCAAGGTTTTTAAGTCTTTAATAAACAAATACTTAATCTGTCATCTTGAATCTAATAACTTACTTTCTGATCATCAATATGGATTTCGATCTTCTCGTTCTGATTTGCTGATCAGTATTACTGTCAGCTAATTTGCTGACAGTAATACCGATAGGTTTTTTCATAAATTTGATTAATGTGGTGAGGTTAAGGCTATTGCTCTTGACATTTAAAACTTTTAATAAAGTTTGGCATGCTGGTCTTCTCAATTTTAATTTGTTTCAGCTAATTGTTATCGCAATAATCTAGATCTTCCTATATTTATGAACGGTAATATATTTGATGAGTCATCTACCTTTCATCTTCTAGACTCTTACTTCTGATCTTTCTTGCAAACCATATATCAAATCGATTGTAAAATTAAAATCTGCTAAGGTTGCATCTCTTTATCATGCATCTCTTATCACTTTCTTACTCAGGATTCTATTCTTTATCTCTATAAATCTTAAATTTGGCCTTGTATGGAATACTGTTGCCATATCTGGGGCGGATCTTCTAATGATGCCCTTTCTCTTTTAGACAAGGTGCAAAAAGGCATTGTAAACATAATTGGACCTGCTCTTGTAGCCAACCTCCAACCATTATCACATCATTGTAATGTTGCTTCTCTTGCTTTTTTCTATAAATACTATAAAGGCACGGCTCTAAAGAGCTAGCATCTTTTGTGTCATCTACTAAAATTTATTCTTGTGTTACTTGTCATTCAATTAAGTCTCATCATTTTATTGTGACTGTTCCTAAAAATCTGATTCAAAAATTCTACGTCTACAGGCTTGGTCGCGAAGCGGGAGCGATCGCTCTCGAATACTGACCACGGAAATTATATTTAGTTGCGTAAAACTGGCCAGGTTTTTTAGACATTTAAGTTTATGTACGAAACAAAAAATTTTTGTTTTACGGACATACATGGAAACATAAAAAACTTGAATGTTCTCAAAACATCTTTGTGCGAAAGAATAAAAAGAATATTTGCAAACACTAAAAACCCGCCAAATTAACGAACAAACTTATTCTATTGGTTCAAAAAATACGCTGATTAAGCGAAATAAAGTTCTAGAGTATTCTGTTAAAATGTTTTAGAAATTGTATTATACACGATTTGTTACGTTTTGAGATTTCTAGCATTGTTTTAAGAATATATATTATTTGTTTACGAAAAAAAAATTTTTAAATATATATTGATTAAATTGTTAAAATTTTAAAAGTTTATTATAAATCATAGATTTTATTAGTATATTCTTATTTTTTATTTTAAAAGAGATTGTATTTTTTATGTAAATGTAATTTTGTGTATTTGTTTTTTATCGTAATGTATCTTTTAAAGCAATTTTTATGATTTAAACAAAGACTTACAAAAATAATTGCGTTTTCAATGAAGTTGTAATCGTTAAAGTTAATAAAACTAATTATGTAACAAACATATAAGTAGTTTCTGGTTACTAAACACAAACAACGCATACAAAGTAACTCGCGGATGAACAAGCATCGCGCCTGAGGTCACGACAGAACAAAAATATATATAGCAAATAATTAGATATAAAGAAAAGTTTCTAGATATTGGTTTACTTACTCTAATTATTTTCGCTTAAGTTGCCATTCTTAAAACTCGTTATACTTTTTTCTGCTTTAAATACTAATTAAAATTAAAAAGCCCACTCACTAAACATCATCAGCGATATTGTGAAGCAGTTTCGCTTCCTGGTCATTATATATTTTTAACCTTTTTAGTTGATTTCTATCTTGATAATTTAATTCCTATAGTAATTCAATGATTTAATTATTTCATTTGTTTATCTTACTAAGAAGAATCGCTTCAAATATGTTAAAATTTTCAAACTACGCGAAACATAAAATAGGTATTAAACAAATTAACTTTTTTATTTATAAAATAATTTTGCTTAAGTAAAACTAAAACTTGCAAACTTAGTTAAATAAAGAATATTTATTTCCCTTTTAAACAATCGTCAGTTGTTACTTTATATAAAAAACATCGCTTAATTTTATTTTTTTTGTAATTGTCTCTCACCGGTCCAATTATTCTTTGTCGCTTTTTATTTTTGCTTTTTAAAATGTTCTAAAAACGACTAAAAATCTGGCCAGCTTTTCGCAACTAAATATTATTTACGTGGTCAGCAATCGAGAGCGATCGCTCCCGCTTCCCAACCAAGCCTGTGTCTAGTTTTTTTCCTTAAATCCTTTGGAATTCGCTTCCTTCGTCTTGTTTACCTGATTCATATAATTTGTAATCTTTTAAGTTGTCTGTTAATCATTAACTTGGTCTATAAATTTCATTTTTTTTCTTTCAGTAACTTCTAACTCTAATTGCTTGCAGCCTTGTTGTAAGTGAAGATGTTTAAAAAAAACAAACATATTTTAGAGTGTTTTGGTATAAGAGATAAAATATAAGAAAAATAAATGAAAGAATAAATTATGTTTAGGTGTTCATGATTCCTTTTTTTAATCGAATCGGTCATTTGAGAAACACCTCATGTGCAAAAAAATATTGTTTTTGCAAATCAAAAAAAAACAAACAGCTGGCTCATAATTTAAGATCATTTTTTAAAATTTTTAAATGCAGCACCAACATGGTGACTAAGTAAAGATTTGTTTTGTGCATGTGTATATATGCATTAACTAAGAATTAAATTTTCAATTTAATTTTTGCTAAAAATAGCTATTTCTCAAATGACTTATTTAAATAATTAACATCAGTTTTCATCAGTTATCAAAAGTTATAATAAAGGAAATTTATTTCAACTATTTCTTATAGAAGTTTTAATTCAAATCAATAAAAAAAAAAATTTTAATTTTTTTTAGATATTATATTTACATATTTAGTGGGTGATCTTTTACTAAAACAAAAGAATCAACTAATATTAAAATGGGAAGACTTAGTATTTGTCAGACATTTTGCCAGATGTTGTTCTTTCTCCCTTGTTAATCATTAAATTAAAAACAAACTATTAAAAATAAAAAATAAAAAAATAAATATATAATAACATGATAATACAAATGATAAAGGTTTATATGAAAATACCAATGATAAAGGTTTTCTCAGTTTGAAATAAAAAAAAAAAAAACAGGTTAGCACAAAATTTAGAAACAGGGTTTGACAAACTGATGAACATGCTATTGTTTGCATAACATTGACAAAAAAAGAAATGCAGAGTTTGCTACTTTTCTTTTGAAACATTGATGTTTGCTTTAAAAGTGAACTAAGCATTTTACCATTTTATTAGGATTTTTAATAAAACCTAAATTTTGTTTATTTTAATTTATTCAGGATATATAAATAAAACACTTGCTCTTCTGTTTTTATTATAATTGTTTTGGTTACAATTTAAATAAATGATTTGTATTTAGAATTTTAATACAACATACATTTTACATTCATTTTAATCTAGAATTTAAATAAAAAATTTATTTTTACGTTTTTTTTTTTAAATTATTTTATTTAAAACTTAATTGACACATTCATTTTTTTAAATTAATCTTTTCAGTTACTAAGAGGCCATATCACATCAAACTCCTTAGAGGCCATATAACATCAGACTCCTTAGAGACCATATAACATCTCCTTAGTAAATGAAAAAGTTACTTAGGAGCTCAATGTTAAACAAAAAAGCTGGCAATCTAGATAAGTTAATATTTTTAATGCATGAAAAGCTGAAAACGGTTAACCATAAATAAAGCAAAGAAACTTAAAATTAAATAATATTTGTTTTTTCTAGAAATAGCATTTCTAGAAAAAACAAATATTATTTAATTTTAAGTTTCTTTGCTTTATATGAAAATACTAATGATAAAGGTTTTCTCAGTTTGAAATTTTCAGCTTTCTGATGATAAAGGTTTTCTCAGTTTGAAAAAAAAAAAAAAACAGGTTAGCAATAAATTTAGAAACAGGGTTTGACAAACTGATGAACATGCTATTGTTTGCATAACATTGACAAAAAAAGAAATGTAGAGTTTGCTACTTTTCTTTTGAAACAATTAGATTTTTGATCAAATTTAAGTTTGAACGGCACCCAAATATGGTCGACACTGTTGAAAATGGTCTAGAATAGCCCCTGGTAGCAAATAAACCATTTTTAGAAGCAATTTAGCAATTATGCAGTTATAAACAACCTCTGTTTTTTAATTATAATAATAATAGCCTTTGTTTGCTTTTAAAAAACTTGAATTTAGTTGATTTTTTAAACTATTAAATACTTTATCAAAATGAATTTATAATTTTAACTATTAGTGTATTTTTTTTTTAATTTAATGAAAATTTGCAAAATAATTAACATGTAGCATCTAAATTCTATTTTTTTTATTTCAAATTTGTTTAATTATTTAAAAATGTATTTAAATTAAACTTTTTTATAATGTATTTAAATTAAAGTATGAAAAAAAGCAAAGAGACAATGGGTTACATGCATTTCCCATTTGCTTATGAAATGCCTTATAATTAAAACCTGTCCAAACCACATGAGTGTGAAATCATGAAGGATAAACATAAATAAAATAAAATAATAAAATGAATACCGTTTTTTGGTAGAATTTGTAAAGAATAGATCCAGTTGATAATATTCTGATGTTCATTTTTTATTCTTTCCAAAGCATTTAATAGATCAAGCCCAGACAAACAAAAAAACAGAACTGTCATTCTAAAAAAATTCATATAGGTTCATTCATTCACCCATTCATCATCAATCTAATAAAAACTAATAAAAAAATAAAAAAACTGAACTCAAACCCTCAAGTTCTGCTACTAGAAAAAGAAACTACAATATACATTTATATTTTATAAAAGTTTTATGAAAAAATAACATACCTGCTGGTATCGAGAGACGAATATGGTATTGGCAAACATTGAAGACAACGAAGAAAATATTTAATGTGTTTTTCCCTTGAAAATTCTTTGTTAGTTAACCCTTCCATTTTTGTAATAATAATAACTTTTTAATAACTTTTTTAGTCTAGGTAAAAAAAAAATCATTAAAAATAATCATTCAAAATTATAAATAAAATAAAAAAATTGTCTAAATAATAATAATAAAAAAAAAATCAAACAAATAACAAAAAAATATATAATATAGTAATACTGACAATTAAAAATATTTCAAGTTATATAATTACATATAGAAAAAACACCTACTTTGGAGCTTGAACTTATCACTATTAATTTTATATCAAGCCTAATCAAGAATACTTTAATTATGATCTCTTACTCCAAAAAAAATTCCAAAAAAATGAGCTTGAAACCTTAAAAAGTTTCGAGCTCATTTTTTTTGAAGATAATTATAATTTTTAATAACTATATTTTTAAGATAAAACTACATTTCAAATTTTTTTAAAAATATAAGTAATTAAATACTGTGGGGAATTATTTAAAATTGTTTCCTTGATTTACATTTAATAGTTATTATCATCTGATTTACTCATTTATATTTTACAGTCATTATCATCAGATTGCAAATGAAATATTTGCACATTTATTTTATTGTATATAACACATGTTAACACATTGCATGCGTAACACACATTAGCACATTTTCTGATCATTAATGCTTGAACACAGTAAGCGCTCAACATCAATTGTCAGACAATGTGTGAAATGAGCTTATAAACACTATTCACAAATGTATATAACTATGTTTAAAATATTTAAAACTATTTTTTAACTATAATTAATAATATAATCACAAGATTATTATCGTATACAACCAATCAGTTACAGTCATTTGTTTATCGTATACAACCAATCAGTTACAGTCATTTGTTTATCGTATACAACCAATCAGTTACAGTCATTTGTTTATCGTATACAACCAATCAGTTACAGTCATTTGTTTATCGTATACAACCAATCAGTTACAGTCATTTGTTTATGGTATACAACCAATCAGTTACAGTCATTTGTTTATGGTATACAACCAATCAGTTACAGTCATTTGTTTATCGTATACAACCAATCAGTTACAGTCATTTGTTTATTGTATACAACCAATCAGTTACAGTCATTTGTTTATAATTTTAAAAGACTTTAATCACAACACTGTTCAGCGACAATAGTTTCTCAAATTCATGCAAATAGCATCATTATTATGAGAAAATGTTACTTTTTTTTTTTCTTTTTACATTATTTAAAAAATAACTATTAGATGCGTCACAGCAATCCTATGGTTTAAAAAAATTCTTATCTAAAAATCACACATTCCATTGAAAAATTAATCTATACCAAACAACATCAAACACATTATTTTATTTAAAGATACTATAGATAAATAATTTATGGATAATTAACTTATAACACTAAGATAAGACAAATAACTTACAGACACTACAGACAAATAACTTACAGACACTACAGACAACTTTTATAATTTGTGAGGAAAATTAGGCAGAAATTCTATGCTCCAAAAAGTGACAATTTTTTATTGTATTTTTTTTTTTCAATTTCAAATGTTTATTAATTTATGCTTAATAATTTTTATTTTAAGCAAATTTTTTTTTTTTTTTTTTTTTTTTTTTGGGGGGGGGGGCATCTTTGTCAGGATTGACCTTCCTAATTAAAACCAAGGCTTCAGATTTAATCAATTTTCTTTAATTATGCAAACATTTTTTATTGTTATTCTATTATGCAAATAATTATTATTAGCATCCAGTTTAAACCTTTTTGATAATCATTCCAAGATGTTCCAAATCGTTCTGTGATCTTCATACCACCATAAATTTTGTTTGTTTGTTTCTTCATGTTAGATTTTGGGATTGCATACAAGTTAACCAGTTCAATTTTTTGAACTAAACAAACATTTTCAAATGAACTTTTATATGTTTAACTCAGTTCTTTCTGTTATTTGATATTCAATATGTCCAATCTTGAGAAAAAAAATACCTTCTTGCAATACTTTTATATGCTTTTTCACACCTAAATTTTGTCACTTGACTGAAAAGTGATTGAGCTTTAATAACTCTTCCAGAATATTTATTTTTACCTATTACTTTATTATTACATTATCTATTACTTTATTTTTACATTATCTATTACTTTATTATTAGTTACTATATCTAAATATTTTTATTTAATCTATAAATATTCATAAATCATTTTACAGTTGAACTCTTGTAATTCAATATATTTTATAATAATATATTTCAAAAAGATCATTTAAATCAAACAAAGTCTTCAATCAAAGTCTTCGGTCCTTTTAAGATTTGATATTTAAACCAAACAAAGTCTTCGATCAAAGTCTTCGGTCCTTTTAAGATTTGATATTTAAACCAAACAAAGTCTTTGATCAAAGTCTTCGGTCCTTTTAAAATTTGATATTTATTTAAAATTTGATATTTATTTAAGATTTGATATCTATTTAAAATTTGATATTTATTTAAGATTTGATATTTATTTAAAATTTGATTTTTATTTAAGATTTGATATTTAGGATTGAACTCATATAATTTAATTTATAAATATTTAAAAAATATAAATTTAAAAATAATTTATAAAACTCTTGAAACTCAAACATATTTTGAGACCTCTTGAGGATTTGAATTACACAAATTCAACTGTAATTTTTAATTGTTACCTAACAACATACTTAATAATATAACTAATATATGCTAATATTAAACAAATTGTTTCTAATACTATTAATAACTAATATGACTTAATACAATAATTTTATAATATACTATTAATAATATATTAAACTTATTGTTTCTAATACTCATTTTATTTACCTAATGAAGTAAGTTAGGTTTTACCCTCTAGATTATAACAATCAACCACCATTGCAAGTTTTGCCATGGAAAAAACAAAAAAACAAAACAAAAAATGCTCCTTTTGGCCATCTAATAAACACATTTATAACCTGTGTTTCAATGACTCTTCTAAAAGGTTTTACCTTGACTGTACATCAATTGTATGCAATTTTGCACATTCTCTGATCTGAAATTCAAGTGAACTTTTTCTTTCAAGAATTGCTCAAACAAAAGTCTCATGAACCTCCTTACCTCACAAATTTATTAAGAAACACGAATGTGTTTAATCCAACAATTAAAGTAAATTAAATGCAAATATTCTGACATAAATCAAGTAAATAATTCTAATAAACCATATACAGAAATTTCCCTCCATCTAAATATTGCTTTTCTTACATTTAACATAAATGATCTCTTATCAATAATGTATTAATTCTTCCATAGTGGTATGAATTGCTGAGTCTGATTATTAAGTAGAAGTTTCAGATAACTGAAATTACCTTACACGAACTTAAAATTGAACATTGTATAACACAGTCATAAAAAAAGACTTCTTTACCTAAATTTTTACATCTTTAAATCCAAATAAATTTACATTTAACCATTTAAATCGTCTTTGTGAAAATTGTACTAATGAGAAATTTTAGCAATTCGTTAACTTTTAGATTTATTGAATACAGTATTAAAAGCCATTACTAATTTAATTAAAAAAAATGTTTTTTATCCCTATTTTCTACCATATTTCTTACTTCTGATACATATAATTGTAAAAAATAAAATCATTATTAAAAATGTTTTTTATAAATTCTTATCCTGCTTACAAAACCTCCAATCAATTTCTGACCACATAGCATTACTTCTGTATTCCTGGCATCCCACACAATAAAAATATAAAAAACATAGAAACTTTGAAACCAATACTGTTTTGCTAAAACAGTATTGGTTTCAAAGAAACATAGAAACTTAAAAACCAAATACTGTTTTGCCAAATATTTCAAATAACTACTGGGAACTACACATAAAAAAAGATAATAAATAGCATAAATTATCTATAAATTTGTCTAAACATATCAAACTCTGGATCACTTCTTTAACCTATTATTTTTAAAAGAGAGCGTAGAAACGAAGAAAGACATTAAACGTCACAGAAGAACTACCAATCCCAAGCCATGGTACAAGGTCAAAATATCAGGCTAAGAACTATTAAGAAAATTGTTTTTTGTGTGAGAAAGTAGAGTGTGTTATTTTTTGTGTAAGAAGGTAAGTGTGAGAAAATTGTTTTTTGTTTGAAAAGAAGAATCATTTACAAAAAATAACTATTTAAAAATTGTCAATACTAAAAATCTGATTCTTTAAACTCATTTTGTAAAGGAAAAAATTATTAATTTATTGATATATTTTAAATTTAAAAATGGTATCATTTTTTTAAATAACAACCTCATTTATGTAAAGAACACTTGGAATGGAATTAAAGAAGTCATAAACATCAAACTTCTACCAACACTAACTGCAAATCCCAAAATAAATGAATATGTTATCTTAGATTAAACCAATGTAGCTAATATATTTAATTATTATTTTGCTTTGATTAAAGACAAGCTACTTTTAAATAATTGTTCCTTTTACAAGAGTTTTTAGACCATGCCTAATAAAAAGTCTTTTTTATTGAATCATTGACCAAAAACAAAACATTTACTTTGTAAAAGGTTATAATACTACTATAAATATTTTTTATTAACTTTAATATTTTAATCTTTATCAAATCAAAACAATTTTATTTGTACTCTCATTATCAATTCATATTGTTATTATAATTATTTTTGACAATAATGATGTTTCACTTTTATTGTTGTTGTTATTATTATTTAATAATAATAACAGCAACAATAAAAGTGATAATTACAGAAACGATTAATAGCATTAATTACAGAGACTATATGATCATATAGTCTCTGTAATTAATGATGTCAATCATATTTCTATAATTATCACTTTTGTTGTTGTTATTATTATTAAATAATAATAACAACAATAATAAAAGTTATAACATCATTATTGTAACATCATCATTATTATAGTAATAATAAAAAAAAACAATAAATAATAATAAATTATTATTATTTATTATTATTATTGTTATAACTATTATTATTAATATTATTAATACAGTCATATGACTGTAGTAATAATATCAACAATAATAGTAATAATAATAATAATAATAATAATAGCAATAACAACAATATTGTTATTGTATTACTATTTAATAGTAAATAAATAACAATAATAATATAGTCTATTATTGGTATTATTAAATACGATGTGTTTACTTAAGATTTGTAGTTAATACTATTTGTAAAAACCTTTTCAAAAAAATTTTCCATAATATATTTGGTTTTATATTAGTAATATGCATAGTTCACTTAAATTATTTTTCCAGTGATCAAAACGAATACACAAAATCCCAACCGTCAAAAACGCAATTAACATATGAATGGCAGTCGAAAATACACTCTCCGGTATTGACGCTAGTAATGAAACAATTAGTTAATTGGATTCTTATTCGAAGTAATTCCAAATAATTTTGTGGATGCGATTTTTTTTTTGTTGCTATGCCATTTATGCAGCTAAAATCGGGCATCCGTTAATATTTGCTTTGCAAGTAATAAAGAACCAACTTTTTTCATAAGCTTTAAATTTCCTTTCTTCGTGTTATCCCTTTGCTTGCAGATCGTCAACTAAGTATATTTTCTAGAGCAATTACTGTTTTAAAATAAATATCCGTGCAGTTTGATATGCGCTTTTTAGTTGCAGCTTCAAGAAAACAAGGACTCGAACTTGTTTGGCTGCACAGTGACAGATCCAAGAATTTTTTTTTTTTTTGGGGGGGAGGGGGGGAGGGAGGGGGAGGGGGGAATTCCTTAAGTCAAAAATTTAACAAGAACAACTTTACTTTCACCTTTGGGGCAGGGAAGGGGGATAATTTTGGAGCTTTTTTGTTCCCAGGCTCTAGTCATTCGCAATTCTTTGCAAAGCATTTTTTTTGTTGAAAAAAGTATAAAAATATAAATGTTTGGAGTTTGCTAAATGTCTAGAAGTTATCTCAAACACCAAAAAATGCTGGAAGCGCCCCTGCCAACATGGTTAAGTTAATCTCAGATCATTTTAAGAATTTTTAGAGTATCGAGTCCTCAGGTTCTAAAGTTTTTATTCTTTGAAAACAAAGAATAAAAACTTTGTCTGTCCTGCTATGAAATAATTTTAAGAATAGCTTAATTATGCTTGAGTTATGCTGTTTAATTTTAAGAATAGCTCAATGATTCTTAATTTATACTGTTTAGTTTTTAAATGATGTTATGCTCTTTCAGTCTTTTTATCAGCTTTAAAAAAAGTAAGTTACATTACTTTATCTTTTTTGACTTTTAAAAGTTACATTAAAAAATTAAAAGTAAAAATATAAATGATGAAAAACAAAGTGGAAACTATGAAGCTAACTAACTATAAAAATTAATTTTTATATTTTTTAATTGCATTAATTAACATGCATTCTTATTCTTAACATGCATTCTTATTAACATGCATTCTTATTCTGCTCAGTCATATTATTTTACGTATTTGAAAGCTTGACATTTATACATTTTTATGCTTTTGTTATGTGTTTTAAAAATCGGGGGCCCTTGCATGCATCCCGGTTAATCCGGGGTGCTTGGTTGCTGTGCGTTAAAAATTTAAATTTTAAATTTTTAACGCACAGCAACCAAGCACCCCGGATTAACCGGGATGCATGCAAGGGCCCCCGATTTTTAAAACACATAACAAAAGCATAAAAATGTATAAATGTCAAGCTTTCAAATACGAAACAAAGGTTTGAAAAAAATATTGTTTTTAAATTAAAAACAATATTTTTTTCAAATCTTTGTTTTATTTTGGGGGTAAGGTTTAATTCCCCTCTGAACTTAGTGGATATATTTAGATATACTTAATAACACAATAAAATATTTAGATAATTTTTTATTTTTACTATCTTTTAATAACAGTGACTAATAAAATATTTGAGAAGTTAAGCATTTATTGTTTTAGGGTGTGAAACCTAAATGAAAAAATATTTTTTATTTAATGTTATTAAATTTTTAAAGAAACTAGGATATTCTTTGATATTTATGAGGGTTTTTTTCCCCTCTAGCTTGTTGGATGTAATAAGGTAGTTGGGGTCATATATTTATTGATACCTTTTGATAACTAAGTTTTGTGCATTTAGATGAGAGTTTACGAAGACATTTAAATTGGGTTGGAGATAACTCTATTATTACTCGAAGCCTACATGACGCCCAATTAACTATAAGTACCTTACTAATATGTGGAGAAAACTATAAGTAAAATATCAAAAAACCCTCAGAGAAAACAAAAAAATACATTTTTTTCTCAAGCGTGTTTACAAGCACAAATATGACCTCTAATGCATTTCCGATCAATTTTTCATACAGATATCACAAGAATTAACGCATCATTAACCACTCCCAAAATACTACTTGAAACTACGCCCTATTTTGGAAATAAGTTACCATCATTTAAATATTTATCTAAAAAAGTAGCTATTTTTCAAAATACCGTTCGTTAAAAAAGAAAAGATCAAAATAGATCGGTCTTATCACAGAGCAATGCGGAAGTGCATTTAACTAGAAAGTTTACGCTCTTCTTTTTTTACCAATGCCATTTATCTGGCCGGGGATTTATCTTACGTCGTTTTATTATTTAAAAGTCTTATATTTATATATTATAATTTTAAATATATTATGTATAATGTATAATTTTACATTTATATATCATAAATTTAAAAATTTAAAACTACTTAGTTTTTATAGTTATATTTTTATTAAAATTTCTTTTATTTAAAAAGTTTGTTTTTTGTTTAGGTTTTTTTAAACAGGTTTCTTTAATCGATAAAGTAAAATAAAATTTATTTGTAATCCTAAAAAACCGTTAAATAAACGTTGCAAAAATTATTAAATATAATTAAGCAATTAACAACCTAAATTTCATACAAAAATTAAAAATATTTTTCATGATATTTATGATGTAACTTTTGTTTTGATTAATATTTAACATAAACAGTATCAATTCTAAAAAATTTCTAGTTTATCGATTCCAAAACGATTAGACTTTAACAGCTTTCCAAAAAGCGTTAAATAAGGTATTTGAAAAACAAGAAGTTTTTAATTCGATCCACATTGAATTCGATGTTGACAAAACTTCACTCAGATTCGGTTTGACACAATGTCTCTTTAGCACATTTCCTTCTGAAGACGATCCGTCTCTCATTAAAACATAATTCCTAGAGCAATCCGAGTGTAATTGCATGTTCTGAAAAACAATAATTTTTGAGTTATTTTAGAAATAAATATTTTTATTATGCTAAATATTTTTAAATATGTAATATAAATAAGTTATAGGAAAATATACATAAACTTTTCTTTAAAGCATATGATTTTATATAACAATATTTACAATCAAAACTATAATATATTAACATAACAAATGTTACCTCTACGGTTACTGCAATTCTTCTTCCAGTTTCCACTACTACATTCCAAATACATGATAATTCGTTCTCATATTTTTGAGGATAAAAAGGTGAACTTAAATAGCCACCCTCTCCGGTTACCAGACCACCACAATGAAATTCTGTTTTTAAAAGTAGATAATAAACTAATAAATAGTTAACAATATCTGAAAAATCTAAAATATTTTAAAAATACTTTTTTAAGACTTGTGTTTTAAAACATAGACAGCAAAAAAGAACCTGTTACTGCTTGTTCTTCCCATACTAATGAAAACTGACCAAAGAAGTTACTCGATCCTTTGTATTCAATCCAAAGACGATTTGAACTTGATAAAAATGTTTTTGCAGGTGATGGCATTGATTTGTCACAATACCTTGCTACTTTCGTGGAGTCTGAAGTATCTCCGTCACGTAGTATAACATACGATGAATCACAAACATCAGTTAAATAAAAATTTGAAAAAAAATATTTAATGCGCGTGGATGGCTTGGTCTCAATAATCCAAACACAAATAGGGTGCTGACTGTTTACTGCATCAATACTGCTAATCGTTCCACTGTTAGCTCGAACAACCTCTCCACATTTATGCTCTAAAAAATTTAATTTTCACAATAAAATATTCCACAATAAAATTTTATTTTAATACACTTAACGCGTTTTCACACGTCTCCGAGCGTTGTTACATGTCTCCAAACATTTTCACACATCATTATTATCAATTATCATTTTTAAGTCAAACTAGGCTGAAAAATCAATAGAAAAAAAAAAAAAAAAAACTCAAAAATCTTACTTGAAGTAAAGATACCAAAAGACATCGATTTATCAATTGCAGATATCACTAACTTAAAGTCAACAGTTTTTGCAAAACGTTCCTCAAAATAACCCAACTCAATAAAAAGAATATTTCCAGTTGTATATAATACCTAATTAATAATATAAAATCAAAAGAATATTGCCAGTTGTATATAGCACCTAATTAATTGTATTTATGTAACAGCTGTAAATAACACCTAATTAATAATATAGAATAAGTAAATATTTATATTATAAACTACTCATTTTAAAATAATGAATTTAAAACATTTTAAAAACAAACATTTGGTGGATGAGTTCCACAAAACTTTCCAATTTCTTTTGAGCTAATTTTAATTCCGTCATAGATACTTAAGTAATCTAAACATTCCATGCTGTAAACTGATAAATTAAATGTCAAAAATTCTATTTTGAAGATTTGTGAAGGAGAAATCATAAACTGCTGCATGCATGTTGTGCTTTTTCGCAAAATGGTAGGAGAAATTAGAAGAATTCTTTTACGTGAAAACTGACTATCGTGCCACAACGGATCTCTACTGCATATGTCCAAACTTGAATCTAACAGGTTAAAAAATTTATAAAAAATATATTTGTAAAAACTTTTTTTTTTATATTTGTTTTATAAAGAAACATTAAAAAAAAATTAAAAAAAATTATTAATTATCATTTAATAATTTTTTAATATATATGTAGGAAAAATCAGGGCTAGTTGGCAGCAGAGGTGACGAATTACATTCATCTTCAGAGCCTTTCATTAGCAAATGCTGAAAGTTACATTTATGAGTGAGACCTTGCTAACTGATCATCCAATTGACCAGAGAAACAAGTGCAGCACGAGTAGTGGTATAGTGGAATTGAATCAGAACCTGTTGATTATAAGGTGAGCGCTCTACCAATAGTCTACTCTACCAATAGTCTACTGCATTATTAAAATAACATTGAGACATAGCATTATTAAAATAACATTTACACAACATTATTAAAATAAAATTGACACATAGTACTTTTAAAATAACATTGACACATAGCATTATTAAAATAACCTAGACACAGCTTTATTAAAATATTATCATATTGCATTATTAAAACAACATTGACCATTCCAATATAACGACTTAAAACTACGAAGAACATTTTTTTCTATTAAAAAGTAATTTTATACCATCATTTAAATAATAATATTCACCTAAAAAAATAGCTTTTTTTGTAGTTTATTATTTACCTAAAATTATTATTAAACGTCATTAGTTAAAAAAGAAAAACAATAGTACTTTCTTTTTTTTTATTAGTAAATTAAGGTGCTTAAAAAAGATCTATCTTATCATGAAGCAATGCAGAAAAGCATTTCACTAGGAAGTTCACACCCTACTTTTTTTACAACATCAATTATCTGGCAGGGGCTGGCATCAAAACTCAAATCTCTTGGTTCCAAGGCAAAGCAATAAACACTGGGCCACAGTTGTTCACCCATTTCATATAAAAATTTAATTACTTATAACTGTTATAGTTATATCTTTATTAACACATAGCATTATTAAAATAACATTGACACATAGTACTATTAGTTTTTTTATGCATATATAAATATATTAGTTTTATTTGTGTGGAGATTAAGGAAAAAATGTAGTAGGAAAAAAATACTTTTAAATGTAGATTTTTTATTAGCTATCTCTGCAAATCAACAAGTCTAACCAAGTTTTCTTGAGTTAATTTTCAGTATTATTATCTAATACAAAATTCAAATATTTTAATTTTTTATATTACTATAATTAATTAACACAATAAGTAATAATAAGTTATAATAATAAAACTTGTTACCATAACCACCATAACTAAACTGTCTTTTTTTTGATTTCCATGTAGCCAAAAAACCTCTTTTTGATATTTTATCATTTGAATGAAAAACCACAAGCATTTTGTTATCAGATGTCTCAATATCTTGATTTGCAGAATACGAGCATCGTTTTTCAATTAAGGGTGAAGAAGTTGAGACACCATCATATACAGCCAAATAATCGGCATCACAAGAAACGCTGGGTTCTAAGTCAAACAATGTAAAGCTAAGCACCACAACAGTAGAGGGTGGTGTTCTGATGGTCCAAAAACTTTGCATATTGTTCATATATTTATCTGGATAATTTGGATGCATTAAGACTCCACTTTCACCTTCATATTCAAAATAGTAGTCTAAAACCAAAAGCATCATAAAAAACAATTGTCTCTTTTAATAAAAACAAATTATCCTTTTAAATAAAAACAAATACACTTTTAAGTAAAAATAATTATCTTTTAAATATTATAGTCCTAATAAATAATCGATTAATTAAAATTAAAACAAATGTAAAGCATAAATGGACTCACTGTGAACATCACTCAAACCTGAAATGATATATAAAAGTAAAGCAAAATTTGAGATAAAAGTAATAAATTGATTTTTTTTTAAAACAAAAATTAAGAAATTTTAAAAAACCTGTGAACAAAAAATTGTCAGTACTAGTTTGAGTTCTTGTTTTACTTTTTGTGGTAGCCTGAGGGGTACCAACCAATGGAGAAAATTCTTTACCACTTTTAGAAGTAATATCTGTTTTATACTCCCTTGTTCCAGTTGTACTAACCCTGTTAATGATTGCTGTTGTATCTACATTAAATTGACTTGCAGTACTTTTTGGTGTAAGCTCATTTCTAAGTTCAAAAAAATAATTGAAAACAAATCCAGCTCTTTCATAAGAGTTATCTGTGACAAATTTAATATTTAGCAAATTACTATTTGTTCTTATAGTAGAAGGGGCTTTACTGCCACAAAAACGACCTAATTGTTTCTCATCATCTTTTGTCCCATCAAAAATTTCAATATAATCTTTTTGACAGTTTTCTGATAGTTCAAGGTCAAATAAAGTAAAGTAGAAAACAATACGATAATTTCTTGGAGACTGAATTTTGTAAATGCAATTCTCATTACTGCGGTAACTGTATGGATAATCCCTATGAAAAAACTGCCCTTGTGTTGAAGTAAAAAGTTTGTCACAGTTTTCTGCTTCCACATAAATTAAAAAAAATAAATATGATAGAGTAAAAAAAGTTAATCATTACTCATAAGATATTCTTAAATACTCATTATCAGTAACAACTAGTGATTGACCAAAATACTGTTTTGGTATCGCTTTCGGCTAAAATTTCAATTTGAACCGTTATAGAAATTTTGGTATCTGTTTATGTATCTAGTAACTTTTTATAAATTCAGCAAAAAGAAAAATTTTGGTTGAAAAATATACAGAAAATTAAAAAACTTTTAAGATTTTAAATTTTTATCTAACTTAGAAAAAACCTTGAAAAAAAATTTATAGAGAAAATCTGCCAGTTGTTAAATTTTGCTATTAACTTATATTGCCAACTAATATATTAAATCTCAATTTGGGATACATGTGTAACTAATTCTAACATAAAACAAGTGAAAAAAAAACAAACAGCAAATGTAAAATTGCATTTTTAAACAAACTTTTCTAAAATTTTGACTAGTCGAAATGTTGGTGTCGGTATTGGTTTTGGTATTTTATAAATTTTGACTAGTCAAAATTTTGGTTTCGGCACCAAATTTAAGTACCTGAAATTTCATTTTATTACGGTTTCGGTCAATCACTAGTAACAACCATTATCAGTTATCATTAAATACTCATAAATTATCATGTAAAACTTATAAATTATTATTAGCAATATTCATAATTTATAATATGATACTCATAGATTATCTTTATATCAATTAAATTTTAAAATAAATTCATAAAGCACTAATAAAATATTTATATATTTGTATAATAGAGTGTTTAAGAATAAACTTTTAACCTGCTCTCAAGGTAGTTGTAGTTACTAAGGAAACTGAAGAAGTTGTCATCAGAGATAGATAGCCAATCTTTTCAGCGTACCACTTTAAAACAAAACCTTTGTATGAATTACGATCGTCAGAATAAAAATTCAACAGCACTTTATTGCTTGTAGAACGAATATCTGGTACTCTGTTGTTTCCACAAAACCGCCCTAACAGAGGTGAACTAGACTTGAGGCCATCTCGAATTATCAGATAATCATAATAGCAGTCACCAGCAGGCTCTATATCAATCTCAATAAACGTTAATACAATTAAAGTACCCTCTGGACTTGTTAAATACCAGTTACAATCTTGATTAGGTGAATAGTTGTTAGGAAAGTTTGGACTTGTGATCATCCCAGATCGGCCATACATTTTGTATCTGCATACTTGAAAATAACAACAAATTTTTAGGAAAGTGTGAACAGTTTTCAAACATTACAAAGTAAAAATAAGAAAATTTAAATCATTTTTTGGTGTTTATAGCATTAGTTTATAATTCATAATTTCCTGATTCTAATTCAAACTCCACAAGTTAGAATAGCACAGTTGAATAGTGTGTTGCTACAAATAGATGATTACCAAAAAATCCAGAACAACAGGGTTGAAGGCTTAAATTTTCTTTTAATGTCATTTACTTCCTCAAGGCAGAGTAGTCAAGGAGGCTAATTTTTTTTTTAATTGTGGTTAAAAACCCTCTTTTAACTCTGAAAATCTGAAACATAAACCTTGATTAATTTAATTGCTGCAGAGAGAAGTAAATCAAGCACGGCACTACTAGAGACATGGTGGATTAAATTCTAAACCTCTTACAAAGCAAGGGCTCTACCACTTCATCACTACCACATTTAATCCCAAACTACTGAATCGTCCACTAACTAGTATTAAATCCCAGCTTCACCAACTCAGCATATAAGTAGCACTTTAATGCAAAGGAAACTTGCCATGGTTAGCTCTGCTATTGCAATGTTTTCTTCACAATTAGCAAAAATTAGTTGTGTTAAAAAAATATATTAGTTGAATTTCAGAGTTGAAGTTCAGAGCAAAATCAAATTGTTAAATTTATTTTAATAAAGATGAATCAAAAAGTTTTAATGCATAAAAACTCATCAATAACTTTTTGTTTAAAAAACCTACTAAACATATATGCCCTTTAGAAAGCCTATCATAAATAAAGTTTATGATAGGTTTAAGTGATAAAGTTTCAATTAAAAAAAACTTACATTTGGATGGTGTTGAAGTTGTTGTAGTTTCAGGTTTGGTTGTAGTTACTTCTTCCACAACAAATGGTTTTTTTGTTATTAATTCTTTAGCCATAGAATTCCATCTTAACATAAAGCCTTTTCTTGTTTGCCTATCATCTGATCTAAAATGCAAATACATTTGATTTCCAGTTGATTGAGCAGAAACTTGAATGTTATTACCACAGTATGCTCCAATTTTTTTACTAAAATAATTTTCACCATCATAAATATTTAAAAAGTCATAGCTGCATTCACCACCACTTTCAACATCAAAGTCAACAAAATCAAGAATAATAACTTTTCCAATTTCTGCAACAATAAGCCAGTAACAGTCTTTATTTTTTGGG